ACTCGGATGGCAGGGAAGAACAACAAACTGGGGAGGAGGGTAGAGAGAATGGTGCAGCAATGAAGGAATGAAAACCCAAAATCCCTGTAAATGTTCATTAAAACTAATAAAATTTAATAATAATAATAAAAAAATCTTTTCCAACACTGCCTGAAAACCACAGCCCTTCTTTCCTGAAGACCAGACCATGGGCCAAATCCTTGTTGCTATGGATGCTCTTGGATCACTCAACCATTGTACCTGCAAAGGGAACTGTGGCTCACAATACCTCCTTGTTGGAACCCACATTTTCACTTACATATTGACCTGGGCCCTTCCATTGTAAAATTATTTATTGGATTTCACTGGCGTAGCAGGGACGTTCTGTTTGCGGTAGGAAAACACCTTCTCTTTGTAGTTGAATATATCAGTGGAAATAAAAAAAAAATCTTTTCCAGCAGATATGCTCGATGCAATACGTGCTTTGATTTCTTGATTGTTACTTTCATGGGTGTTCATTATTAATTAAAGAATTCTTTAACAATTTCAACCTTCCCTCCACTTATCATATTATATACTGTAGTTGTGAGGACTTCCATTTGATGTTGAGGTATCAACCATACTGAAGGCTGTAGTCTTTGATCTTCATCTGTAAGTGCTTCATGTCTTCTTCACTTTCAGCAAGCAAGGTTGTGTCATCTAGGTATCAACATTTGGTAATGAGTCTTTCTCCAGTTTTCATGCCGAATTCTTCTTCATATGTTCCAGCTTAAGATTATTCGCTCAGCACATAAATTTGACACACACCTTTTCTAATTTTAAGCCACACAGTATTCCTTCCTTCTATTCAAAAAGTACTCTGTTTCAGTCTCTGTACAGTCAATAAAATAAAGCAAAAACTCGTCTAGTATTTTATGCTTTCAAGCAGATTCACCTGAAGTCATCAATGATATCTCTCATTCTCTATCTTGTTCTGAATTCAGCTTGATTTTCTGGCAGTTCTGTCAGTTTATTGCTCCAACTGTTTTTAAATTCAGCAAAATTTTACTTGCATATAACATGCATTCTATTAGTTCATCTTACTTTGGTATAGGCATAAAGATGAATGCCTGTCAGTTAGCTCACTAATATTTTTACTGGGTTGAAGGAAACAGAAACAACTCTTCATTGCTGTCAAGTTGGAACTAACACACAGGCAACCCTCCAAATAGTTTCAGAGGCCGTAAATCACACAAGAGGCGAATGCCCATCTTTCTCCCTTGGAGCAGCTGGTGGATTAGAACAGTCTGCCTTTGGCTTGGCAGTGAAACTCCTAAACCACCAGAGATCCCTAGCTGTAAATTATTGGTACAATTCTTCTTCTAAGGGTATTTTTTTAAAAATATTTTTTATTGATTTTCACATAATACTTTTACAGTATGTTTCATTCATATACATTGTTTTATATAATCTTTCATTTACATTGTGTTGGTTTTCTTTTAAATTTTATTTTATTCTTTTTTGTGTGTACTATCAAATCTGATCTGACTGGTACAGGAGATTGCCCCTCTTTCTCCAGCAGAGCATCTGGTGGATTTGAACCGTGTGCCTTTGGGATTGCAGTACAACTTCTTGCCACGAGTCCACCAGAGCTCCCTTACATTGTGTTTCATACACTCATTCATATATTCTATTTTACATTATTTTTTAATACTAGTTTATTTACAAAATTTGAATACATTGTTTTTCACACCAGATGCTTCCCATTTCCCTCATGCCCCCATCAAACTGTGACATCCCATGATTAAATCCCTCCCCCTGCTCTGGATATCATCACTCCTCTGCTTCCATCCTCCCCCTACCCTTGGATCCTTATACTCATTCTACAGTAATAGGATTTTTAATTTTTTTTTTTTTATTGTGTGTGTGTGTGTGTGTGTACTGTCAAATTGGATCTGACGGGTACAGGAGATTGTTCCTCCTTCTCCAGCAGAGCATCTGGTGGATTCCAACCACACACCTTTTGAATTGCAATGCAGCTTCTTGCCACTAGGCCACTAGGGCTCCCTACAATAACAGTTTTATACAGTATTTGTCCTTGTAGGACTGAATTAGTTCACTCAGCATAATGCCCAAGTTAGGTAATAATTTACAAAATCATTGCTCTGTGTGCTGTGTAGTATTCCATCATGTGACTGTACCATAATTTCTCAATCCATTTGACTGTGGTTGCACATCTAGGCTGTTGCACAAGAAAAAGACTGATAATCCAATTACAAAATGGGCAAAAGACATGGAAAGAATTTTCACATAGGAAGATATTAAAATGGCCAACAGACATATGAAGAAATGCTCAAAATTGCTGGCAATAAGAGATGCAAATCAAAACCACAATGAGATACTACCTCACTCCATTAGCAGTGGCAAAGTTTAACAGGACAGCAAGTAATAAATGCTGGAGAGGATGTGGAGAGATAGGAACTCTTATACATTGTGGTGGGATTGTACAATGGTACCACCACTCTGGAAGGCTGTTTGGTGCTTCCTTAAAAAGCTGAACATAGAAATTCCATATGACTCAGCTATTGCACTGCTTGGAATATACCCTGAGAAAATGAGAACTGAGACACAAATGGAGACTTGTACACCAATGTTCACAGCAGCATTATTTACTATGGCAAAAACATGGAAACAGCCCAGATGTTCTAAAGGTATTTTAATTGAGGAAGTATCAACTTTTCTAGGGTTCTTTTTAAAGGGGGGGCAGGGTTTGATTGTCACAATGAAGAGGGGGCCAGGATGCGAAATGTTCCAGAAAGCAAATGATATTGCTATAAAATGCTGATCCATTCCACCCAAAACAGTGGTACCCCTTTAAAAAGTTTAAGTTAACAAGAGGCGAGGGAAGGGGAAAAGAGTAAGTAGATAAAGCAATAATAGCAGAGGAAAGAGTGAGACGTTCCTAAGAAATACCATACTAGATTAGCCTGAGGACTAGTTATATGGCTCTAATTGGGCTATTAAAGTACTTTTTTAGAGAGGAGATTGAAAATACTCTTGATGGTGAGGGTGGTATCTTCACAGGCCAGGGATTACTTTGGGTGTCCAGGCCTGCTTTCAATGACAAAGTAATCAAGCCATCTTTCTGGGGACCATGGTACAAACTTTTAGTGATTTGATAGCTCCCTTCAAAATATGAGTCCTGTATGCATTACTTCTTTACCTTCAATTTCTGAAAATACTTTTTTATGCATCTTGCACTGCTCTGGGGACAACTTAAACGCAAGAGCTATGTTTTACCATATTAGACTTTGGACTTATAAAGAAAAGGCAGTAGCATTTCTTTTTTTTAATTTGCTTGAGAATAGAGCTAAATTTCCTAATTTCTTTTACTCTTTTCTATTTGCCAAGGGGAAAAAAAAATCCTACTAATGTACCTGAGAGGAAAATGATACCACATGGCTGATTTTCACAGGTGCCATGGTAGGTCCAGCAGCTATTTCAATTGAAGGCAAAAATGCTTTCTCTCAAGATTTCTTCTTCTAAGTTTGTCACCACTTTGGCATTGCCTATGTTTTAGTTCTATCAGCTTCCAGAAGAAAAAGAATGTACATGTTACTCCTGTAAAAGAGAACAAAAGAAAAAGAGCCTGTTTATGGCTGATTCTGTGGTAAAAGGAGTTATTTGAAGAAGCCAGTCAGTCATATTTAAGAAATTATACCCAAATAGATCAAAGATGGAAACATAAAAAACCAAAATTTTGATAACATAAACAAAGTTAAAATACAAATAACTGGTTGATGCTGATCGAGCCTCAGTCTGCTTTCACCAAAGCATGCATTTTAAATAAAACATATTTGCTATATATTCAGCTAGTGTTGCTGCTGGTTGCTAGTGAGTTTGGACCTTTCATCTAGTGGACTATGTGGGGAGAAGACGTCTTCAATTGACTTCTCCTCACTGCAGTTCAGAAGCAGTGGAACTCCGGGACTTGAGCTTCTTAGCACCACTGTCTGACTCACTGAATGAAGCCTTAACAAACTGGACCAGAGGACAGCTCCTCTTAACCCACTTTCAGTATCAACCAATTCCACTTGAGTTCTCTTCTACATAAGACCCCTCCTCTCGCTTTGCCCCATTTCAGCAGGAAATAGTTCTCAGAACACCTGCGCCCCTCTGCCCCTTTAAGTTGGCAATATAAGGTTGAAACTAAAGAGAGTCCATTTTGCTGACTTTCTGGCCCTGAGTATTTCTTGTGTTCAAGGAAATAGTAAATAATCTGATTAACATTTAACCATAAGTATGGTTGTATGACCCACCCAGGAGATAAAACAAGTAGTGCTGAATAAATAATGGAAAATGGCCGCAGGCCCTTGAAACTGTTGTGATTACCCCCAACCAACCAACACAGAATGGACAAATACCCCATTCTTCTCTTTGTGACACCAGTTGAGCTAGTCTGCTCTAACCAAAGTGGAGATTTTAAATAAAGTATATTTGCTATTAAAAAACTACAAATAACTGAAAGAAAATATTTGCAATTCCTAAAACTTGGCTTGTGTTCAGAAAGCACATGTTTAAAACAAATCAACTAGAAAAGGGCAATCTTCTTTGAAGGTGAGTTTGTAAATGTCTAATAATATAGAAGAAAATGAAAACACGCCCTTTGATACAACAATTCACTTCTACGCATATACTCAGAGCACCTGTGTCCAATAGAAATATGTGAACAATTGTTGTTGTGTATCCCCCTGTAGGAACAGACCTATAGCTGACCCTCCAGTGGGTCTGTAGAGGCATTTAATCGCAGGGGAGGAAAGACTGCCCATCCTCCTGGCTGGTGGCCTCTAACTGTGTGCCTTTAGGATTGCAGCACAGCCACTTACCACTAGGCCACCAGACCCCTTCCCACCCTCCCAACACACATACATCATCTATCTATCTGTCTGTCTTTGACTACATATATTTGTGAATTTCCTGGGCACCATAAAACCCACTGGGAGGTCAGCTATGGGTTGGTTCCGACTCAGTGGTACATAACAACTACAAACTTTTTTTAAAAAGGAAATAGATAAAATTAACTTTAATAATAAAATTTATTTTAATCAGATATATTTAATTTTATCTTAGAATAAATGCAGTCAGAATATTCTTCCCCCCCACCCCCCAATGTTCTTTTTGAAGTTGACTGTGATGTACTTTGGACATGTTATCTGGAGGGATTGGTCCCTGAAAGATATCATGCCTGGTAAAGTAGAAGGTCAGCAAAAAATGGGAAATGAAATAGACAGACAAGGTGACTACCAAATGAGCTCACATAGCAAAGGTGAAGGTGGCATAGAATCAGTGTTTGGTTTTGTTGCACACAGAATTGCCTCAAGTCAGAACAATGGAGTCATCACCACAAGATGCTATAATTTTAATAGATATATACCAAAATTACTAGTGTAATATTTTACATTCCTTTGAATACTTGAAATCGGGTTTATTTTTACACTTTCAGCATATCTCAATTCTAAACAGTCCCATTTCAAAAGTATAATAGCCTCATGTGGCTAATATAGCTAGTAGATCTGAAATGTTAGTAGCTGTGCATTTAACAGCACAGCTCTAGAGATTCAAATGTGCATATAAAGACAGAAAAAAAATCATAAAACACTAATAACATCCCCCAATTGACGAATGGATAAAAGAAATGTTTGGGTTTTTAAAAAATTTTTATAATTTTATTATTTGTGTGT